AATCAAAGTAACTAATAAGAAAAGTTCATTTGAAATCAAGATTATCAAGATCGGAGCATGTTATAGTATTTATTATATTATGAATAAATCTTGATCTTCTTAATCAAGATTTATAACTAATGTATCATATAAAGTATCATAATGCAAAATTCTGATAAGCAATACGATCAATATATGAAAATTTTAACTTCTATCTAGTTTGTTAATCATAATAATAATAATAGAGCATGCGCAATGCAATCAAGTGTGTGTGTGTGTGTGTGTGTGTGAGAGAGAGAGAGAGAGAGAGAGAGAGAGAGAACTGTATATAAAGGATATGTAACGGTCACGGTCACTGATGATTTGTGGCAACAATTACGATGTTTGGGTTGATGCCTCTAGATATTACGGTCAGGGAAGAAGATCATTTGTATCGGATGTTGTTTTTTGTTGATTGAGATAGATTCCATTATGACACTATTTATATTGTCTATTTTAACACCAGGTATTTAATAAAATCACCGACCAAATATCATTAATTGCATTTTTGGTTGGTGATATTTGATATTAAAATATCGACAAGTGGTGTTGTGTTGCCACCTTTGCAAACTTTGATAATCGATAGTTAAATAATGATAGTATACGGTTGGTAAGTACTGATACAGTTGACAATTATGAAGGCAACATTATGAGTCATTTTTCCAACAATAAGTCTAAGGATACTCATTTGTCAACCATTATTCCATACTCCTAGTTAATTGAGTTTTTGCTAGTTGTCATTAACGTCCCGAAAATTACAAAGAGATTTTTCATTTTCAAAATAGAATAACTGATTAAAACCTTATTAGAGTTAAATTACAAAAAATCGCGGAAATGAATATCTTCAATGTGTATGTACAATCCCGCCGAGCTCTTCTCACGAACAACCTGATGGGTTATGAGCATAACATCAATCCTATGGTGTTCATGCAACCCTAATTGCTTTGATCTAGGTTTTTCTAAGTAAACATACAACATTGAATAGCAAATCAATAAACCCTAATTGACTAGCATACAAATATGAAAATCACATATGATTAGGGTTAGGAAGTTTACCTTGATTGTTATGTAGCAATAACAATCACAATCCTCCTTGATCTTGACTTCTGAAAGCTTAGTGCCCCAAGTGTTGCACCTCTAACGGAGTCACAAACACTCTATGCAAAGGATGAAGTAAGAGAGAGGAGAATTTCGACCACTCTAGGGTTTCTTAAGCCTTGGACGAAATTTCCCTTGTAATGGGGTCTATTTATAGTTGTGTGGGCTGCTAGGGTTTCATATGGAAACCCTAATTCTCTGCTTAGGCCTTAAGCAACCCATGTAACCTTTCTAGAAGGCCCCTTGGACGATTTCTATATGGGCTCCCATATAGAATTCGTCCACTACCTTCTATTAGGAATCCATAGCCCAACTTGCAACTATCAGATAATTACATTATCAGTCCCCTTTATTTAATCAGTCTCTTTTAACCACGAAACTAATTTCAAATTAATTTTTGGTTAATACTAATTAAATAATATGATTTCCAAATAATATATTAATCTTGTAATATATTAATAAAACCATTTTCAGTACGAATTTATTATTCTTATAATAAATTCTACTCTCTCTCCTCTTGTCATCCTATCAAGTTGCATGAGTGAAGGCAACCCAAAAGGACCATGCTCATAATCAAATCAAGTACATACCTAAAATAGTTATGGGCTTAGACACTTAATCCAACAGTCTCTCACTTGGATAAATCTAATAACTATTTTGCGTATGATTCATAATTTGATCAGCAATCGTAGCTTTCATAAGCCGCTGTCGAACTCTGATCTTATCAGAAACGTGTCCTTCAGATAAGGGATCGTATATTCCTCCATTCTAGATATCGTATGAACTGAGACATGGATTTTAATCATACTCTTTGTTCATGTGTTGTTTACCGATTTCCGATTTATGACGACTGACAACAGACTACAATTGAACACATCAACTTAGTCCATGCTTGGCCAAGCGCTTAAGGTGTCATCACTAAATCATTGAGGGGCCTACATATATCGCTTTTATCCCAAATTGGGTAAAAGGAACGGATAAACTTCGACTCAAATGATCGCTTGTATTTACTCATCAAATCACACACAACAATATGTTTTATAACACCAAGTTACTGATGCGTTGACATATGTCAACGTGCAACCGACTTGCAAAATACAACTCACATGTCTCCGTTTCAAGAATATAAGATATTATCGTCTCACTAATCACTCGTGATAAAATCCATGAAGCGATCCAAGTGAGCGTGGGTTTAATCAAATACTCTAATCTTATTACAGGGCACTCATGAACACTGCAGCATACTTTTGCTATGTCTAAACGCTTTAGACACTTCCATGAAAACAAACCCCTTTTATCTTGGAATAAGTGGTTATAATCACAATCCATAAAGTTTATGTCGAAAGGGAGTATGATGACATACATATTGTTTAAAAAATGCTTCAAGTAGCTACCTGATCAACTAGAAACTTGACCTTAAAAACCATGATTTTCACTAGCCATGTAACACCCAGAATCAGAAAGACCAAGAAAAGAAAGGAAAAGCTCTAAGTCATGAGTCAACTCGTCGAGTCCAGGGAGGAATTCGACGAGTCGGAGCAGGATCCGGGGTATAGAGTAAGTGACCGACTCGGCGAGTCGGCTAGTGGACTCGGCGAGTCTGATCTGGGCGAGAAAAACCCTAATCCCGGGGGTTGTGCCCTAATTAAAGAACATTACATCCCTTCCCCAGCCTCTTTACTCCCCTTTTAAGATCCAGAAACCCTAAATCGTGAGTGAGAGTCCTTGGAAGCAATTTGGAGCTTAGATAAGTGGTTTTGTGAAGAGATCTTGAAGATCAAGACGCTTGGATCAAGGGAGTTTGCAGAGATTTGGATTAATCTTCAGTGGGAGGTCATCTTGGAGGTAATAAGCTGTTACCTTCACTCTTTTTGCATCTAGATCTATTCTTGAATGAGACTTGGGGCTATTTTGGCAAGATTGAGATCTATGTCGAGTTAGAGGCCTAGATCTGAGGTTGCTACCTCAGATCTAGACTTGTGATGGTCCAGAAGGTCATAAAGTTTATGTAAATAAGTTATTGGTGAAGCCCCTTTGCCTTAAACCCTATCCCTAGAGTGTTTTGGGACTTTAGCCCCTTGGTTTCACGTAAAGTTTGCAACTTTATGTGGGGGATAGACTGTAGAAGAGTGGATCTATGGATT